TTCTCCGCCTCCTCACTGGTCCTCCCCAAGGCTGTTGCTACTGCAGAAACTACAGCACTCAACAGGAGAGTCATATCTTTCTCGTCAAAGAAAAGATTATCATCTACTGGGGGGACCATTGCTGTGGACTTTGAACCTTTTTCCCTTTGGTTCTTTTTTGTGGTTTTGCCACTAGCAAGCTCGGGGAATTCCTCTCTGTTAGAGGTATCCAATTTTCTCTGTGGGGGCGACTCCTTCCTCTTAGGAGGTCGGGGAGTCTTCTCCTTTTTATTTTGTTTTTTGTTTTGACCCCAGACATGGTACCTGGGGGCGCAGGGACAAAGTCAGGACGTTTTTTGGCTAGCTCCTGCTTTTTAATCACTGCCTGTTTCCTGACAGAGCAAGCCAGACTCCAGGCATGATGTTTTTTGGCACAGTTTGGACACTTGGCTGTTGTGTCCTTCTGGCCATCTTTGTGTGCCTTAATACACACTTCCGTTTCGTGTGCCTCGCTGCATACACCACATTTGGCTTTGGCCTTGCAGTTGGCCTGGTGATGCCCGAATTTTTGGCACGTGAAACACCTCAAGGGCTCTGGCACATATGTCCTGAGCTTGTATGAGCCCCAGTTACCCAGATCAAGGGTGGTGATTGGGGCTCCCTTGAGGATAACAAGGACTTGCCTGGTTGGAGACTTCCCTTTGGTCATGCGGGAAGCCTCCACCACTTGTGGTAGAGACGTGATCACCTCCACGTCGAACCCTAGTGGAAAGCCAAGTAGCACCATCTTGGATTTTTTCTCTTGGGAGGTCAGTGGTGAGATACACACCTTCCTCCCATCTTTAAGCACCTTGATTTCCTGCAGGAAGTTCATGGTGGCTTTGTCTTTGGGGGCAATGATCATGCCCTCATCTCTGGAGATTCGGATTGATAATCTCACATTTCTTTCCTTCTCCAATGCCCTTACCAGCTGGTATGCATTGTCGAAGTCTTCAGGTTTTTTTGGTACCTTAAACCGCGTTAGTCGACTTGGGGTGTGTTCTGCCTCTTCATCAGAGTCAGTCTCCACCCTTCGTCGCTTCACGCCTCCCCTTTGCAGGGGTTTAAGGCCTTTGGAAGTGGGGGCAGCTGTTTTGGCTGGTACAGCTGGAGCCCCTTCTTGACTGAGGGAGTTCTGAGGGGAGTTCAGGCTTCCCTCAGTCTGGTGTGCAAGGACAGACTTTGTGGTTGGTGTTTCTGTCTTGTCCTTGCTCGGTTCAGCAGGCCGGACACGTTCGGCCTGCTTTTGGGTTTTCTTTCGCCCCCCTGCAGCCTTGAAAGGCTCCAGGGTGACTGCCATGGTCGATTCATTTTGTGGTCATTAGAGAGTTGGAAAAGATTGTCCCCTTTCGGGGTTATCTTTATACCTCCTCTCTGGGTGAGGTCTGAAGAAGGGCCTCACAAAAAAGCTCTGATCCCTACACTCGACCCTTCAGCACCACAGGACAGGAGATCCCCCTGGGTGGGCTGAACTCGGAGTTTTGGTGTGGTAAACGCTCTGCACCCCAATCCTGCTACAAGGGGGTGTGATCACGTCACCGCAGCCCAGGCGAATGTTGGAAATCAACGTTTCCCGCAGGCCCAGGCTGCACCAGGAAGTCAGAAAGAGAGGGCAAGAGTAGACACCGAAAAGACGCCCTTGGTGCGTGGCCACAAACTATGTCCAGGACCAGAGGGTCCAGACCTGGTTTGAAACCTCGCTCTCCAAGGGAGCGGTAGTGGGGCACTTACTACAAGAGAAGGCCTGGCCAATTGTCGCGGCGAACCACGAGAAATTGGCGGAGCTCTCTGTGTAGTTTGTCAAAATATCGTAATCAAGCTCAAGTCTGGAGGCTTTAGCTCTGGAGAATCACGCCAAGTGAGTGACAATAATGCCTCGCCAATTGGGTGATCTCTCTGCACACCACAGGAGAAAGGGCCTGTGAAGTGTGTACACCACAGGGGAGGTGTGTTGTGGTGTGTACCAGGAGAGAATTTTGTTTATATAGTGATGGACACAATGAACAAGATCTGAATCGGGTCTCATGGGGAGGGTCAAAGTCGAAGAGTCTGGGGAAGGCTTTGCTAACAAGTGACGAGGTAATATCATCTAATCCCCATTAGCCAGCACTCAAGTTAAAATTAGGCAATTTTCTAATTAAGAGCTTCAATTATTGCCCCCTCCCACAAAGTGGCGAGGTTCTTACCTGCCCCAGTTTAGATTACCTGTTCATTAGTACAAAATATGAAACTACATGAATGTTGACCCGTTACACATTGTGTGCTACATCTGCGCCTCGTAAGGATAATCGATACACCAGATTTTTTTATTGACGCTAATTCTAACCATTAAGGCGTAAGAACTGCATAATTGGGTGAATTCCAAAAATCCGCGTCGACCGACTGCGAGATCTGGTCGAGGGAGCATGTTCTGCGAAAGAACACGGTCACGCCTCAATAGTCTCGAGGGTTTACGGATCCTCTTTAAGGGAGAAGTTATATCTGTTTGCACCGCAGAATCGTCAAGTCCGTCGCCCGCATTCCTCCCAAAATTAAAGGACTCGCCGGGACCATCTTTATTGGGATCAGTGCAGTACTGGGGGAAGGACATCGGGGAGCGTCTTCTATTGCAGGGCTCGGGAGCAGCACACGGTCCAAAACGCTTCTGCTTGCAGGGGACGTGCGTCTCCCGCATGCAGAACAGGTTTCGCTCCTGCTCCTCAGTCTCTTCCGCCGGCAATCAGTCCTCTGTCGACACATCGCACTCTTCCTCCAATGAACGCCGCCATGTCCTCTTGCAAGACTCATTGTTTGGTTCTAGTTTCGTAAATAAACAGCGCGTTCGGATATGCTCCGTCTACTTTTCCATCTATAACAGCATTAGATGGTACTAGACCTGACAGGTGTATAACTGTCAGCAAAAATGCGTTCTTTGAGAAAGTATATTGTAGCTTTGATTTTTGATTGATTACGAATGAACAAGCAAATGAACTACAGCAAACATCGCTTTATGAACCAAAAACCTACCTATCGAAGGGTAGCTCTGCCCTGGGCTCAAGTCGCGTTTGCCAGACTTCCGTATCGAGGGTTCCTCCCCAAACCACTACCTGATCACCACACTAAAAGATGCAAATTAGGTTTTATCTTCTGGTTGAATTAAGGGCTTCTATGATGCGAGGAACTTCTAACGAATTTCTGCAGCTGGAACACGGTTATTGTATTTCACTGAATTTAATGTTATCCCTGAGATTGTAAAGGTTTGTCTCTTTTCACAGGAAAGAATTCGGAAACACAAGTAGCACTGTAAACAAACTTCACTTTTGGAACGAGCAATGAATATTGACAATCAAATTTGCCATCAGATGATTGATCTGATGAAAGTATGGATATAGCAAGTATTTCTGCAGGGGGGGGATGTTTATTCGATAGACCTGTATATCTTCATTCTAATCCTCTATTTCCCATGTATGTATGACATTTGCTGCAGAACCCCCCAAACCTCCACATTTTTTACTTCGATAACGACTTATTCATGACAGGTAGTGTACAACTGACCTATGCCCTGATCTCCATTCTGCTGTACTTACATAGTGGGTCCTTTATTGTCCATGTTGGGGACAGAATTATTTTAATACATATGGCTAGTAGTGAGGAATTCATCGATACCAGTATTATCGTGGTCGGTCATGCAAAGATATGCTACATATTTACCAAATAGAACATATAGCAAGGAGTGGATATGGTCACAACAGCTGATTTAACATTTTATTTCTTACCCACCCTTCAATTCAAATTAACCTCCCAGTCCTGGGCAGGGTCGAGGAGGGAGGAGCATCAGAGCGAGACACGCCTGGAGGTAGTGGGGTGGAGGTGATGACCCCAGCGGAGAGCGTCCGCTCGAGCCACGACCCGAGGTAGTTGGGGGGGGGGGGGGGAGTTCAGGAGCGAGTCAAAGGTCACGAGCGCTGTGGCGTGACTAGTCAACACGCCGCCGTGATATGTAGCAAAGCGTGACCCCCAGAAACGTCTAGCCACTCTCACACCGCTTGGCACTCTTATTATAAATTGTAATTTATGGTAAATACGTCGATAAGTGATATCGAAATGTTACCTCTCCCACGCCATGCATGGTGTCCTGTTATGCCATATCATATTCATGAAGGGACTTGCTAGTACCTCGATTATGCGGCTAGACCTTTGCGGTTGCGGTGAGAGCTTTGAAATGTCATCCATGGGTTTATGGCGGTTTGGTGGGCAAAATATGTGGCCGGTACCTGGCTAGTGCATCAATGAATAGTGGTGCCTGGGGGGCTGGGGTAGGGTGGGAGACGATAACATCGGACATTATCAAGTAATGTGAATTCGCGTTATAAGTCAGTTATACACAAAATTATACGCATTGTTTACATTTGGCATTTGCCTTTACTCGCCAACTAAGCGGGGATGGTAGTGTTGCGAGATCCTTGGGTTGCTGTGTCCTTATCTCGTTAGCAGGCATGAAGTTGATCCCCTGCTTCAAGTGCTTAGGTCTCCCCCAGTTTCCCTCGTGTGCTTTTCGGCGGGCGGTGATTGCCCGTAAGCATCTGTTACTGACAGTACTAAATGGCGGCGCTCGCTAATTCAAAGCTTAAGCATCTTCCACAATCATGGACCTAGTTGTGGCGGAAAGCATGACTTTCGCTAATATAAAACGCACCAATATAAGTGCTCAAAGGATTATTAACTGCGGAACAGAATAAGCCATGATACTTATTGATAGAAACTGGACCTGAAGTTTATACAATGAAGTTAATAGCGTTGGATGTTACTAATTCTCTCCATTTTGGCAGTATCAAGCTTCCATTATAGTGACGTCATACACTAGTGATGTCAAATTCCTCATGACAGACTGAAGTGGTGTATAGGTTGTTACATTCAAGTTTGTCTCGTGTATTTGAAAGATGTAAGCAGGGGTTTCAAGTAAAGTTTAAAGATGTCTTGGGTATGCGTGTGCTCATTCCACTCGTGTACTGAAGAGGGCCTTTTTCTTTGCAGATATGTGCGCTCCTTGGGACAGCCTTAGCCAAGCCCAGTGCTTCGGAAATGGAAGATGAAAAGGTATGTGATGCCTTTTGCAATTTGTAGAAATATTACACTCCACTCTCCCATTTGGAAAGTGACAACTTTTCTCTGAACCGGCAGATTATGGACCGCGACACCCAAAGCGATGACACTGAGAACGATGAGAAAGCGACTGATGGCACGGAGGCCGATGGATGTTCCTGTATGCAAAGCCACGATGTAGATATGGACATGTTTAGAAGTATGTACGCGGATGATCGCTACAATGAATATCCAGAAGGAATAACGCTTAACGAATTCAAACAGTTGGTGGTCGTGGAGACGGCAGAGATGCTAAAGAAAAGTGCCCTAACCGATCAAGATGTGGAAGCTAGGTTAGTGTTACCCAAGCAGGTGCTTTGGTATGCGGGACTTCAGCAAATCTTAATTGGATACAGTACCGCCATGAACTGTGGCTAATTGGAGCCTGGCTGACACAGAATCCTATTCTATGATAATTAATAACTTCTGCACACTTCCCAATAGTGCATCTTAACTGTTTGAGATCTAATTAATTTTGTTTAGCATTGTAGATGTCAAGAATTGTTTCGCTTAAAATATTTATTAGAAACTCTATTTACAGGATGACCTTGCTCCTTTCTCCCTTGAGCAAAATCTAAGTGTAATACATTTCAGAATGCTCTGCGGGGGTGACTGTTTGCCTAGATTCACGAGATCAAAGAAAACGTGCAACAGGCTCTTGCTGGAAGGCTGGCCCCTCGCTTCGTACCAACCCACGTGCATCATGACCGCCTTGCAGAGACTGTCGACCTGCTGCCGTGACATGTTGAAATAGATGTCGATGGTTTACCTCAGTAGATAATAAAATGGAATCCGTTTGAATTTAGAATTTTATTCTCCTGTTTGTGAGACAGAATTAATGATTTTTATATCCAAGTCTGTTTCAAAACGATGAGGCATATTACATAATGTACAAATGATCAATATATATATAAAAAATCATGGAAGTAAAGGCCACAAATTTATCAAAATACATGATTCTCATTTTATTTCTATATCAAAACGTATAATATATTACATTCGGTAAAAAATATATATATTTAATCGACGGAAAGTACTTTTTTCATTTGAATAAAAAAAAAATTTATTGAACTGTGGGTAAATGAAATTTAAAGGTTTGCTTTGAACTTGATATCAAAATGTAGTTCGCTCAACGAACCAAATTTCCTTTTGTGTAGTTTTACCACCTTATCCACCCTCCAATCCCTCTACATTCAAAGTATTTGCCGATACCCATCCTCCTCGTCAAGGTACCACATACCCTCTTTCTCTCAAAAAAAAAAAATCTCCATGTACACCATTCCCTTTCCGTTCTCCACTATCCTTACCTCTCCCGCCTGGGTACTCGCGTAAATCTCTTCTGTTGCAAGTGATATCCCCCCTCCCCCAGTCCCCTTTTCCGAGATTACCCTTCGTTCAAGAGTTTCCCCCCAAAAAAGCAAGTGGGCAAAGTTACCTTCCGCAGTCTCCAATAATTCACGCCTAGTCACGGTTACATTGTGAATACCAAGCTCGTGCACTACTATCTGCCCTATTTGACCTCACTGGCAAAACCCTCGCTTAATACTTAATGTGTGTACTGGAGCGGTTTCTATAACCACCAAATCCTTATCCTATCTACAAGGACTGATCAGACTGTGAAAATGACTTGCCTACCTTGCTGAGTGTGATGCAGCGGCAATATAGGGTTACACTATTCCTCCCAGAGGACCGCACAAGTCCCATGACAATATTGCCAAGATTAGCTTCCATAGACATAACCTTCCCGTGAAGTTTATATTGGTGGAATGTCCTACCATGTTCGACAATATCGACCCCTTCCTAGTCAGTCAAATGTTGGCATTTTGGCCACCCAGCCAAACATGTCGCTCCACAGGCGGCTGCCTCCGCGCCCAACCTAGTCATGACCGTTCAAATTTACCTGCTCAATCACGTACATGTGCCAATTGTGGAGACCTATAATGTATTTCATAGCTGCCCTGCCTATAAGCTCGAATGTGAGGTAGCAGTTCACTCCACCTTCTACATCATCCTCTTCTGCTCCTCAGATCTCTCTTCTCATAGAAGAACCTTTGTTTTTCAGTCCTCTTTACCTAACCCCCTCCATAAACCCTTGAAGACATCCAAATCTTCCTAAAAAAGACCCAAGGGAACACTCCACTTCCTCATCCACACCCCAATCCCTCTTCCAAAAGTATTTGCAGATATCCATCCACCATCCTCCTTCACAAGTTCCCTCCACCTCCCTTCTTCCTACACCTTCCCAAAATACCCTACCCTCTCAACTACTCCCACTTGAATACTCGCACGAATCCCCTCTATCGCAACAGTGTCCTCCTGCAGTCTCCTAACCTCCACACATTCTTCCTGATACTTCCTGATTCACCTTCCCAAGTCCCTCTCACACCCCCGAATTCTCCTCCTCCAGCAGCCGCACCATTATTTTCCTTGAACAATGTCCCTATTCATTCCATGCATACATTTCCCTACTCCCTTATCCATCCCCTTTCTACTAATCTGTTCTAGTTCACTTACTCCCTTATTTTCCCTTTTCACTACCATACTGTATTATAACGCTCTTTAATCTTTGAGGTCTAACGCAGTTTATCGTAATTTCTCTACCATTTCCGACACAATACTTAACCATAGTGTTATATGACCTTCGATTTCTATCACATTTATTTGTTTTAAACATTGAACTTTAAACATTCATCTCCTGCCCCCACACCCATTCCTTGCTCGTTGTCGTCGAGTGGGGGAGGGGGGGAGGGGTAGGAGACGAGACTGAGGTCCAATGTAGTGGACCACCCCTGCCTTGAACCTCAGCCCTCGCTTCTACTAATTTCGCAAGGTATTTTCTTCTCGCTTTTTTCTTTCATCACCACCTTCTGACCACGCCATTAAATGTGAGAGCCATGCTGAAAGGATGAAAGGCTTTTTTTTTAGTCCTGAGTGGCCTTCGTACTACGTTTGTTATTCCCTCTTTACCCCTTTCACTACCATACTAACATACAGCGCAATACAACCTTTGACCTGTAACATATTTATCCTGGCTGTTAATTCATTTTATCCGAAACAATAGTTTATCATGAATACGCCGCAACTGACCTTAGATGTTGACTACCGTCTTCATTTTCTACCCCATCCTACCTTGTTACTACTTTCCCCTTATTGTCCTCCCCACAGTATTGCCTCACTCCACACCACTCCCTCTTCCTCCCGTCCCAGTACTTCTACTACTACTACCGTCTCCTTTCGTACACCTACCTCTTCCTCTGCTCCTCGGACACGTCTCTTCTCCTCAAGAGAAAACCTTTGTTTCTCAGACCTCCACCCGACTCCCCTCCAGAAACTCTCGAAGGCATCCAAAACTTGCTAAACATGACCCAAAAACGCTTCTCTAACCCCCCCCCTTCCCCATCCCATCGCCCACAAATTCCTCTACAATGAAAGTGACTGACGACATCCACCATGCCGCCCCTACATCTCTTCCTCCCAGTCTCTCAACAAACTTCGATACTTAGTCTCGGGGAGTGCGTCACTAACAATAACCCGTACCTCATACCCCCCCCCTCCCCATTCTACATCTACACCAACCCCCTTCTTTCCCCCATTATCCTTACCGCTCCCTCCTGGATGCTCACGCGATTTCCCATTTATCACAAGTCCTTCCCAGGATCATTCCCCACCTGACGTTCTTTCAGATACTTCACCTGCCCTTGGTCCCTCGCTAGTTCTCTTCCTCGCCACCCATTTCTACCCTTCTTTCCCGATGATTACTTTTTGTTCTGTCCCCTCTTTACTGCACCTGTACCTTTTGCTTTAACTCACTCTCCCTGTTGCACATCGCCATTGGATCCCCAACCTTTAACCCTGACATTCTCCCTTCCTCAGACGGACAGATACCTTCCACTTGATCTATCACCTTTTCCTCTATTATTAATCCTCATCTTAACCCTTTTCACCACCGTACTATCCTATGCTGTTCGTCCTTTGTCTTATAACACATTTTCTAATAATAAACTAATATTTACCTTCTCCGCCAAAACAGGAATTAATATAAATGACAGAAATGCTTGATGTCTAGTACATTTGTTATAACCATGAACCATACTTCTGTCCTTTTTTGTATGTTTATATTATTAGCAATATTATTGTTTAATAACCCTTATTTTTTCTCCTTTCTCTATGCTGAACAAAATTAGAATAAAACTTATGATATAACCAAAAAGTAATTCGTTCAGAAGGATGATCGATTTCAAATGATAACTGATAACATTAAACAGTTAAACAAGAAGCTAATTAATAAAACTTAAATGCTAAAATAACAAATATAAAGGGTTTAAAAATGCTATGCTTTAATCAGGAACTTTATATGTGATATTACACTTTTTTTTTATCTTGGGGGTTTCATCTCCACATGACCCAAAGTTGACAACTCACCCACCCCCCACAGAAGAAATCCTATAATACAAGTGCCTACTTCCTTTTCTTTCCTATCAATTTGAATAAAAAAACCTCAATATTGCTTATCTAAAAAGCTCCTGTATGACAAGGGAAATTTTTAAATTACAATAAGGAATGTTGAAAATATCCATGCAGAATACACACCTTTTCACCTACATAGCTCTATGAGCAAAATAAAAATAATAAACAATAAAAACAGGAGGAAAAATAGAAATAATGACAATAGGAAAAAAATTACTAATTGTACCTTAGAAAAAAATAAAGGAAATCTAAATGGAAATAAAAATAAAACACAAGAAAATAATAGCAATAAAGCATCACTAACATTGACACTGGGAATATAAATAGGACAAAAATAAAGAAATAAATATAAACAATAATAATTACAAGAACCAGAAAGGAGAAAGGGGACTGCAGGAATAACAAGAAAACATAAAAATAAGTATAAAAATAAAAAAGATAGCAAGGATGAAAATAACTATCAGAAAAAAAACTGACGAATATCAAAATAGCAAAAATGACGGCAACCATATAAGCAGAACACCTTTAACTATAAATTACAATTAAAATAATAAAATATAACAATAGCTGACAGGGTTATCAATAATAATAAGTGATGATGATGACAATTTCTGAAATATATTAATAACGACAAATACCCATAACTACAATAAAAATAATAACTATTAACATGATATAAATATAAAATTATAATACTATCTGAATAATAATATACAAATAAAAATATAAAAAAAGAATAAGAATAAAAATAATGGCAATTACAATAACAATAATAACAAACAAAAAATAAATTCAAAATGATAACATTAATTAAGATCATAAAAAATAATAAATAATAAGAACAATGATAACAGAGTATGACTATTATTAATGCTACTATTATAATAATAATAATAATAATAATAATAATATAATAATAATAATAATAATAATAATAATAATAATAAATAATAAATAATAATAATAATAATAATAATTAAAAAAAAAAAAAAAAAATAATAATAATAAAATAATAATAATAAATAATAATAATAATAATAATAATAATAATAATAATAATAATAATAATAATAATAATAATAATAATAATAATAATAATAATAATAATAATAATAATGACAATAATAATAAAATAATCTCGACACCATTCATAAGAATGCAAATAATGATGATGATGATGATTGATGTTGATTGATGATGATAATGATATTAATGATAATAATGATTATTATTATTATCATTATTATTTTGATTATAATAATAATAATTATAATAATCATTATTATAATAATAATGATGATAATGATAAAGATAGTAATAATGGTAATCAAAAT